GCCGCGCGCCGCGTGCACGCGGCACGCGGCACGCGCACGCGCACGCGCACGCTCACGCGCACTCGCACGCGCACGCGCACGCGCACGCGCACGCGCACGCGCACGCGCACGCGCACGCGCACGCGCACTCGCACACCACACGCCCGCACACGCACACGCACACGCACACGCACACGCACACGCACACGCACACGCACACGCACACGCACACGCACACGCACACGCACACGCACACGCACACGCGCCCTTTCCTCGACGACCTCCCCACTCCCCTGTCAGGCCCCTGGCCATCCTGCAAGAGTGCGCAAGCCGACCTCTCGCAAGACCTATTCGACCCGTCCATCTTGAAGACATCGCCCTTGTGACTGGTCCATTCTTTGAGGAAGCGCACGCAGGAATCGGGGGGCCGAAGCGTAGGGTGAGCGCGGATGCGGCCCGACGGCGGGGGATGTTTGGTCGTCCACTGGTGCCATACTCCGTTGTGGCATTCGCCCAGGTCTCTCTGAAGTCGCTTCACGGTCTCGGCAGGAGCCTCGCCAATGGGGTTCAGGATGGGGCCTCTTGGGAGCCTCTTGGGGCGTCCTGGGGTCCTGTGGCTATGCGTATCGGCGGCGGGCCCAGGAGGGAAGTGAGAAGGAGAAGGCCTTCTCAAAAGGTTCGGAAGTCCCCCCAGTCTTCAGAGAAGTTTTCTTCGACTTCCCCGGAGATGCAGAAAATCTCTTGGAAGGCCGGAGGGCTTCCGAGAAGTCCCGCCGCCCTCTGAGAAGTCCTCCTCCTTCTCACCTTCCCCCCTCGCTGGCCGCCGAGTGTATGTGCACATCTATTTACCCAGTTAGGCTGCCGCTGGATGCCGCCACCGCGCTCGGGCGGGCGCCTGGGGGGGGAAAGGGAGTGGGGTTGGGCGCCCCCGGGGGACACGGGCGGGCGCCGGGGGGGGCGGGAAGGGCCACGGCACCGGGCGGACCCCCGCGCTTTTTTTTCGGGTTCCTAACCAATGGGCTGCGCGCAGAAAAAGAGGGAGGCCAAGGCAGCGCTGGGGAAGTGCAGTGTACGAAATGACTCAATATCGACAGGTTTCCTTCTATCTTCATCCATCTTCGTCGTCGTCATCACAATGGCTTTGCGCTTGGCAGACTGAATCGTGGACGCGTTTGGCGTGCGTATGTTTGTTCCTCTGGCGCGAGCGCGCGTTTGTCGTAACTTGCCCACGCGTCCACGCGGATGCACGGCTTAGTGGTGGTGGTGGTGGTGAGTTGTGCCGTGCTCTGCCCAGGGGGCAAACATCGGCGGCGAGCGAGGGGGGTGACTTCGAGGTTCGAGGCGGCTTTGTATAGTTTTCGGCCTCTGGGGGCTTTTTTGCGGTCCCTGGGCCCCCGAACATCGATCCGGGGTGCAAAACCGCGTCGGGTGGACCCCAGGAGGGGTTTGGGGACCGATTCTGACCGATATTCGGCGGCGCGCCAAGGGGGGAAATGAGAAGGAGAAGGCCTTCTCAGAAGGCGGCGAGGCTTCTCAGAAGGCCCCTGGCCTTCCGGGAGGCTTTTTGCATCTTTGGGGAAGGGTTGGAAAATAGATCAGAAGGCCGGGGGGACTTCCGAGCCTTCTGAGAAGGCCCGCCCTTTCTCATTTCCCTCCCTGGCTCGCCGCCAAACAAATGCGCATGGGCTCTGTCCAGAGAGTGGACGCATCTTGGGCTCGATGCGTCGTTGGGGCCTTTCATTACGGCTTCGCAGGACGCTGCATTGCTGCCAGGAGCGTGTTTTTTTGGCTTGGGGCATATTGGGCATTCTAGTCCCCTGCCCCCTCTCTACCCCCCTGTAACGTAACGCCCCTCCACCCCAGTGCGCTCCGGGCACTGCCGCCGTGCGCATCGGGCACACGGCGGGGGGGAGGCGTTACATTATACCCCCCGCGGCCCCTCCCTATAATGCCCATTATCGCCAAAAATGAAGAAACGAGCTGTTGGGCTCGATGCGTGATGGGGGCCTTTCAGTACGGCTTCGCAGGGCGCGGCATAGCCAGGCAAGGGAAGGCCCGACACACATTCCAGCCGCTGCAGGCGCGGTGGCGGGTATAGACGCATGCGTTCACACGTACATGTCCCTTCATGATTCATGATATGACATGCATATGCACACGTTGATACTATCCCCGTGTGTGCAAGGCCGAGAGGGCGGGCCTTCTCAGAAGGCTCCGCTTTCTAAGCGATCTCCGTAGGCACCCAGAGGGCTTTTCGTACGGCAGGATGGCTTCTGAGAGGCCCCGCCGGCTGTCGAGAAGGCCTGCCCCCTCTCACTTCCCCCCCCTCGCGGGCCCCGGCCCGCCGGCGAGACAGTCGGTGTATGCACTCGTGCGCGCAGGTCGAGACGGAGGCCCTCCGGCAGGTCCTCCACGCCCTGCACGCCGAGTTCGTGGCGGACACCAAGCAGACCATCCAGCGGGACCCGGGCCCGTGCTCCAGCCTCTCTCGGGCCGGGCGAAAGGGGGGGATTGGGAAAGGGGGGGTTACGAAATTTGCTGCATGCAGCTGGTTTCGGCCTCACCGAGGGGCCCATTCCTCGATACATGAGCGCCTCCCGGCGCCGGGAGGCGCCGGGAGAATCAGCTACGCGAGCTGATTCTCAAACCCCCCCTTTGCTATCCCCCCCTTTCGCCCGACCCGACTCTCTCTGTGTTCGCTGTGATGGACCCCTCGTCAAGCGCAAGGGTCAGGCTACCGCAGGGCCGCCGAAGACCGCCAAAGACCGACCGAGGCGGACGGGCCACCAGGGGTCCGTGGTCGAATGCGTGGCAGTCTTGGAGGAGGAGGAGGGTTGGTTGGAAGGGGCGGGGCCGGAGGGGCGAGGAGGAGGAGGAGGAGGAGGAGGAGGAGGAGGAGGAGGAGGAGGAGGAGGAGGAGGAGGAGGAGAGGCAGGGGAGGGAATGAGGAAACAAGCCATGACAGAAGCACAAAAACTTGGAGGTCCGCGCGGATTTCTCGGATCTTCGCTGGACCCCCCTCCATGGCGCGCGGAGCGCGCCAGGAGCGGCGCCGGAGGCGCCGCCAGGCGGCCCCAGCGCAGATCTGAGGAATCCGCGCGGACCTCCGAGATTTTATGTTTATGTTGTTTGCTCCCCTAGGGAAGGGAAGGGAAGGGAAGGCATGGGGAGGCTTCCTGGTTTCCTCGGCCCGCGTCTCTGTTTTTGCGTCGGGCGCGTCGCCCTGCGCAAAAAGGGCGACGCGCGTTCTCAGACATCTTACACGGTATATTCACGTAGATCTTCGGCGGCGGCCGCTTTCTGGCCATACCGCTTTGGCAGCGGTATGCTCTACAAGATGTTTGTACTTGCGCGTTCAGTTCAGGCGGGCCCCTCCAACAGGAGCTCATCGTACTAGTATGTCCTCCTGCGTCTCAATCGGTTTTCGCTCCCTCGCCTCCCTCGCGTGGCGAGACGTCTGGCAGCTGGGCCCACGCAAGGCGGACGGCCCGGGCTTGTCGGCGCGGCTGGCGATCTTGGGCGAGCCGTTGTTGGCGTGGAGCTCGGGAGGAGGAGGAGGAGGAGGAGGAGGAGGAGGAGGAGGAGAAGGAGGAGATGGAGATGGAGATGGAGGAGGAGGAGGAGGAGGAGGAGGAGAAGGAGGAGGAGAAGGAGGAGGAGGAGAGGCAGAGGAGGATGAGGGGAGGATGAGGTTTTTGTTGTTCATGCTTTTGTCCTGACCCTGCAATGTGGGGCCGAGAAGCCCAAGCTCGGCGGCGCAGCGGCGCGCCAGCGGGGGGGCCTGGGGTGGACCTGACCACCCCAGGACACCATGGCCGCGTCCTCGGAGCGGCCGAGGATCAGCGTGGGCTCCGTCCGGCACGGGGGCCCAGGTGCGCGCCGCGCGCCAAAACGGTGCCCTCCGCGGCCGCGTCGCGCGGCAGCTGGGCCGGCGGAGCGCCCGGCACGCTGCGCCCCTTCACGTCGACCGCCAGAACTCGGCGGCCAGCCCGGGGGGGAGGTGAGGAGGGGCGGGCCTTCCCTCGACCACACGTATGTCGGGGGCGGCAAAGAGGGGGGTGATGGCTAGGGGGGGTGGATCTCATGGCGGGGGCCATGATATTTTCCCAGATTTCATGCCGCCTCTTCTTATTTCATTACGTCCCTGGCCTCCCCGCTGGGCCGCGCACAATGCCGCCAGTCATGATTTGCACCCCCCCCCTCTTGGACACCCCCCTCTTGGCTGCTCCCGAGTAAGAGTGGCTTATCGCCAGAGTGACCTCTGGTGCGGGCCCAGTGGGGTCCCCTGATTGCCGCCAGCGGTGCGGCTGCAGCGTCTCTCCTGCGCGCTGGTGCTTTGGCCCCCCCCCCGCGGCGCCGCCCCAGAAGCCGCGCACCGAAGACCGCTCTTGCCCAGGGCCGTTCCTGCGTGGAGTCTGCTCTCGGAAGGCCCGGGGCCGTTCCTGCGTGGAGCCGCTTCTCGGAAGGCCCGGAAGTCCCCCGGGCCTTCCGAGACGTTCTTTGAGCCTTTCTGGCAGCAGCAGGGCGTGGCAGGCGGGCGGGCGGGCGGGCGCGCGCGGCCCGGCGGCCGCCGTGGCCGCGGCCCTCGAGGGCGCGAGGCTGTTCGCGCTTCGCAGTTCGACTCCGTTTCATTCTCGTCCTCCTCCTCTCCCCCTGGGGGGCGGCGCGAGAGAGCGCGAAGGGACTCGCGCTCCGCCCTCTCTCGCTCCGCGCGGCGCGGAGCGAGGCGTGAGGCGCCCCCTGGGCGCAGCCGCCCGGGGCGCCAGGCCGGCGCAGGGCGGGCCCGCAGGGGTGCGCCGCGGCCGCGCGGCGGCGCCGCCAGGCGGCGTCGTGGGGGCCCCCGCCGCAGTGGGCAGCGAGCGCCCCGCGGCGGGCCAGCCGGGGCGTGGCGGGCGGCTGCGGCGCCCGCCGCGGCACGGAGGGGGCATCGCGGCTCCGCGGGGCGAGGAGGGGAGAGGCGAACGAGGGGGACGAGACGGAGGGGCGGCCGACGACGCCCACGATCCGAGCTTGATCGGAAGGGAGGGAGGGATGAGGATGAGGACGAGGACGAGGACGAGGACGAGGATGAGGATGAGGATGCTGATGATGATGCTGCTGATGATGGTGGTTGTCATGATGATGATGCTGATGATGATGATGATGATGATGATGATGATCATGATGGTGTTCACGATGCTGATGATGATGCGGATGATGAGGATGAGGATGATGATGATGATCATGATGATGATCATAATGATGCTGATGATGCTGCTGATGATGATGCTGATGATGAGGATGAGGATGAGGATGATGATGTTCATGATGATGCTGCTGGTGATGATGATGCTGGTGATGCTGATGATGCTGATGATGCTGCTGCTGGTGGTGATGATGGTGCTGCTGCTGATGATGATGATGACGATGATGATACTGATGATAATGATGATGATGCTGCTGCTGATGATGATGATGATGATCATGATGGTGATGATGATGCTGATGATGATGCTGATGGTGATGATGGTGATGTGATGATGATGATGATGATGATGATGATGATGATGATGATGATGATGTGGTGGTGGTGGGGTGGTGGTGTGATGATGATGATGATGATGATGATGATGATGATGATGATGAGGAGGAGGGTAGGAGGAGGAGGAGGAGGAGGAGGGGAGGAGGAGGAGGAGGCGGAGGAGGGAGGAAGGGAGGGGGAGGGAGAGGGGAGAGGGAGGGGGGAGGGAGAGGAGAGGGAGAGGGGGAGGGGGAGGGGGAGGGGGAGGGTGGGAGGGGGAGGGTGGGAGGGTGGGAGGGTGGGAGGGTGGGAGGGTGCGAGGTTCGGAGGGTGGGAGGGTGGGGGAGGGACGGAGGGTGGGAGGGTGGGAGGGAGGAGGGAGGGACGGAGGGACGGAGGGTGGGAGGGTGGGAGGGAGGGAGGAGGCGGAGGTGGCGGCGGCGGCGGCGCGGAGGAGGAGGAGGAGGAGGAGGAGGAGGAGGAGGAGGAGTGGAGGGGGAGGAGGAGAGGGAGGAGGAGGAGGGAGGAGGAGGAGGAGAGAGAGGAGGAGGAGGAGGGAGGAAGGAGGAGGAGGAGGAGGAGGAGGAGGAGGCGGAGGAGCGTTGGGGACGTTGCCCTTCTGGGCGCCACCCTCCCTCGAGGCCCAGGTGCACGGAAGGGGGAGGGGCGGCGAGGGGGAGGGGGAGGGCAGGGGGGAGCCAGTGATCTTGGGGACGTGTGTTAGCACCGTGTGTTCTTGCCCCGCTCGGCTCCGCAGAGAGCACGCCGCTCGTTTCGGCCTGCATTACCCTCAGGAGGGGAGAAAAACACACAGACACAATTAATCGTCGATTCCCAGGAAAATATCGGAAAATATGGGAAGTGGGGGGGAAGACAAAAACCCAGATATGGGAAATATGGGGAATCTGTTTCTTTGTGTGTATTTATTTGTGTGTCCCAGGGCCCCTTCATATACATTTGTGGGTGCCCAAGTCTCAATCTACTTTCGGCGCCTCCCTGCTTCGAGGGTCGAATGGTGCTCCCCCTTCCCTCCTCTCCAGCGGTCGGGCGGAAACCCAGTCTTTTTCCAACGCCTTCCCGCTCCATGCTTCTAACCACTTCTTCCGACCGACGGGTGCGCCTTTCGGCGGCGAGCGAGCAGGGGAAATGAGAAGAAGAAGAAGAAGAAGTCCTCCGTGCCTTCGGGGAAGGCCCGGGACACTTCTCAGACGGCCGGGGGGCTTCCGAGCCTTCTGAGAAGGCCAGCCCCTTCTCACTTCCCCCCTTGGCTCAGTCGGGCATGTCCTTCTGCAGGAGGAATATTCCAGAAGAGCCCATCGAACAATAGTCTGGGGACGATTGTTTGGCTCTTCTTGACTTTTTTGAGTACACTTTAGGCGATGCTTAAGAAAACTGAGGTTTTCGGCCAGAGTCTCGATCATTCTTAACGTTTCAATGTAACTCCTAAGATTTCAATCGGAATTCTGGGTTTGTAATCAAATTCTGAGACTATGAATTTCTTAACCCATGATTTCTTAAGCATTTCGCAGGGTGTATTGTTTGGCTATGCTTCATTTTTCCCCGAAGGTTCGCCTGTAGGAGGACATGCCCGACCTCACCCTGGGCGCGCCGCCAGGCCTCCCGCGTGGTGCCGACGGGGCCCGGGCGGAGTCAAGCGCGCGCTGGCGTCGGGGAGAGGCGCTTCGAGGGATCGTCGAGGGAGGGACGGAGCGCGAGGGCGAGCGAAGGTCGGCCGGCGACGGTGGGAGGCCGGGCGGGCGTGTGCATTTTTCCGTGGCGAGGACCCTCGAGGCATCGAGGACCGTCCTCCTCCTCCTCCTCGTCCTCCTCCTCCTCCTCCGCCTCCTCCTCCGCCTCCTCCTTCCCCCACTCTAAAAGAGGCTGGGGCAGAGGCGAGAGGTAGCGAGCGTTTGTCCGCGGCTGTTTGGCTCAAACGGCTGGCCGCCAAGATATAATTGTGCT